CGCGTGAGTTTGTCGGCTGCACAGGGCGGCACGGAGAAAGGCGGCAGAGCAGAGCCGCGTGAGTTTGTCGGCTGCACAGGGCGGCACGGAGAAAGGCGGCAGAGCAGAGCCGCGTGAGTTTGTCGGCTGCACAGGGCGGCACGGAGAAAGGTGGCAGAACAGAGCCGTGCTGCAGCCCACGCAGTCTGCTTGTTGTCTTGTTTAATTAATTGTCGTCTTATTTAGTTAGATAATACAGTGCAGGCCATTTAAATGGCATAAATGCACTTTCTGCTTTCTGCTTCCCTTCTGAAAGGTTTCTGCAGCCCTGATCTGCTTATCACCCGCTGAAATTCACTGGTGCATGAAAAGAGTATCATGTATGAGCTTATTTAATGCAGACAGCCTCTCCATGCTGGAAGCAGGCTCTCTCCTTGGCAGCTTGGTGACACAGCTAAGTGCCCTGAATTGCTTCGATGGACCTAAAATAATTAGACGCCGCATTTTCTATTCCTTCTACGCATAATTTTCCCGTTTTTATCCCGGAACTCCGCTCGACGTACCCCTAATACTCTTCCTTCTGCCTGTATCTGAAAATGTCTCCTCTCTGAACTCATGCTGATGTCTGACACTGGAAGCTTGTATGTCTCACGGACATCATCTTCCGCATGCGCTTCCAGGAGATTAACGTTTCAGCAAGTCACCTATTCATTTTGTTTAATTTATTAAGTGGCTTAAAACTTGTCAATAGCTGCTTTGCTTGTTTGTGACGGGCAGAGCGACCCCTATCTGAATCATGCCCGCTGGGCTACCTGGATTACCTGGCAGCCGTCTGCATGTTTCGCTGGCAGGATGCTGCTGGTCTTGGCAGGAGACGTCACTCAGGGGAGCGGGAGAGTACAAGCGCTCAGACCACGGAATGGAGCGGCGCAATTCCAATTCCAGCCACCGGAGGCCCGAGGCTGCCCCGCTTCCTGTGCTCCGCACCTGCGCCTCCCCAGCGCGTGTGAGGAAGAGGGCTTTCTGGCCCCGTGTGGGAGGCAGGGAAAGCAGATGGGGGGGGGGGGGGAGCGGGAGGCTCTGCCAGCCCATCGATCGCTCTTACCTCAGAGATGGGCACTAAATCCATCACCCGCCGGCCCGTGGGAAGCACTCAGCACCCGTAGAGGATGGGGGACGGAGCCGATTCGCAGGACACAGCTGCACAAGTAGAGAAACAACGTGCAGCCACACAGTAATGATCCTCATGTCCTGCATGTTCTTCCTTCCTGTGCGCCCCCTAGTGGACTGGGGTGTGACTGTCACTTTTCACTCTTTGCAAGGCCCAGGGAGGCACACGAGAGGCCATAATTCATACAGAGGGGCCAAAATTCTTATTAGCCAATGATGTGTTTTAAATCGATTAGTGACGTGATTAGTGACATTCTGAGGGCCAATCAGCTTTCAGCTGGGGCCAGTGCCCCTGTGGCCCCGCCCCTGCAAAGGCATCAGAATGTCCATCGTATTTCGTGATGCTTGCTGATATTCTGCTGATGTGCAGTGAGATTTATCTGTTATTTTATTGTACGGTTAAGTTTTTTGTTTCTTATACAGATAGATTTCTCTTGGCAGATTTCACTTTGTCTTTGGACTGCAAATAAGTCTGGCTCACTCTCCAGCTGAGATGTAAAGCACCTCCGCAATAACGAGAGTCCTGACAAACTGCAGGACCTCAGGTACAGCCTGTCAGCCAAGACGGAGGGCTGCCTTTGGCACTGATATGACTCCAACATGACTCCCGAATTTGTGCACGTGTGATTGTAAAATTAAAATGTACTAAACGTAACTAAAATGATATTAATATATATAAAAATGTTACAAGGGATGCAAGGGTTAGTAGTGGTTTAAAATGCAGAAGCACTACAATTAAGAGAGTCAATTTAATATAAATGAAATTTCTGCAACATGCTAAATACTGTAAATACTGTGATTTTTGTTTTACTTTGTGGGTGAACTGTGTGATCTCGGAAGGTTTTCGTCTCAAATGCTGTGGACAGCAGAGTGATGTCACCATTGGACCCGTAACCGAAATTGCTCCAAAAAACTGTCTGTTACTTTGGATAAAAGTCTCTGCTAAATGATGTCACATGTCAGAACCTCACTGATAAGATTATTGACGATGTCATTTGCAGAAAAGGCGTGAGGTATTGCGGATGCTGGAGGTCCTGACTGTGCTCCTGCACTCCCACCCTAACCCCCCCCCCCAAAAATACAGCCCCCACCGCGGTCTCCTTCTCCTTTGACGTGGGAAATGGGCCCGTGGAGCTAGTGGTCCGGTCTCCCACGCCGCTCGACGACGACCAGTGGCACCGGGTCAGCGCCGAGCGCAACGTCAAGGAGGCCGTTCTGCAGCTGGACCAGAAGTACCGGGAGGTGCGACCGGCACCACCCCAGGGCCACACCCGCCTGGAGCTCTACAGCCAGCTTTACGTGGGTAAGGGGGGGCGGGGTCATGTGACTCGCTGACTTGATGCTGACATACTGTGTACTGGTGAGTGGGTCAGCCATACAGTGGATGATGGTGTAGATGATGCCACAGAGTTTTAAAAGTGCCTGAATGAGAGACAGGACTGCAAACTGCTCCTGGAAAAATGGGGATCGACAGTCTCCCCCCGCCCCGTTCCTGCTGGTGGACTGTCCCACTGCCAAGGAGCATGGCTCCTCCAGAATGGGGGTGGCCCACATCTCCGCGGAGGGCCTGTCTTCACTCTGCAGGCAGGCCGTGGTGACCTGTTAGGTTCTCAGAGATTACTCCTATCTCCACACTCCACTGCTGCAAGTCGAGCCTCAGCTGTGGTCCGGGGAAAGTAGAACGGCCCGAATTACGATGCTGTCAGCACCAAGGCTGCGGTAATTGCTGCCAAATGGCTTCAGCGCGTCCGATCTGTGCCATTCTCGGCCTTCGCACTCATTGCTCTCCAACGCATTTCCTTCTCCATCCTGCATCTACTGTTTCTGCCATTACAGACATCAGTTCTGATGATTGTATTTATTAATCAGAGTATGGGCACTACTGCGGGGAGTGACGTAAATCCCACCAGTAATGTCCTTCTAGCATCTTGTGAAAAGGCTTCCAGAAGAGTGGCAGCTATTATGGCAACCAAGTGTGCCCGTCTCCATATAAATATCTTTGGTTTCTGTTGGACATGCTGGTGTCCGCATACTTTTGGCCATGTGTTTTATCTGCACACCCAGTACTGTAGACCAGAATTACTGAGAAGTAACCTGGGACACAGGGAGGTCTCCTACTGTCCTCACAGGAAGTAACCTGGGACACAGGGAGGTCACCTACTGTCCTCACAGGAAGTAACCTGGGACACAGGGAGGTCACCTACTGTCCTCACAGGAAGTAACCTGGGACACAGGGAGGTCTCCTACTGTCCTCACAGGAAGTAACCTGGGACACAAATTACATCATTTGTAATTCCTCTTAATTATCTTATCCATCTCAAACTAGCAACCTTTTTGGGAATGAGAAATAAAATCCATATCTTGGCAAATACATTGATATTTTAGATGGAAGTCGCAGTAATAATCTGTAAAGTATGTTGCATGCGTCGGGCGAAAAACGACCCAGATGCAGCGTCTTTGGGACACGTGGACACCACAATACCGACGACACTGCGTGAGCTGGGACACACAGTGAGGGAGGGCGCATGTATGCATGGCAGCAGAGAGACAGGTGTGAAGAGACAAGACATGAGGGCTGGCATCAAGGTGGTTATGGGACAATTGGCGACCCCTGCTGGCCAGATGAGAACAAGGCGGAGGCAGATCATGGCAAATTATTCAGTGTGAGGGGGTTAGGGTGGATCAAACCTGTATTCACATTCGTAGACTTGACTGAAAACAGGAGTTTTCTGAGGCGAGGCCGTGGATCTTCACGTCTCGTGTTTACAGAGAGATTAAAAACTCCTCAAAATCTGAATGAGGTTCATTAAAAGTTCCATCTGTCTTTGCTGCGTTCCCCAGACTCCCCTTAAGATCCCTCATCTGTGTTGCGCGCCGCGCGCCGTATGTAACGGCAACAGGAAACTTCGGTCGCTCAGCAGCACCGACCTCCTGCTTTCCGACACTTTTCAGAACCGAAAACTTCCCAATTCGCCTGACAGAATCGCTCCGGATTTGCATAATGGCTGCGCCATCAACACAAAGACACATTGGAGTATTAATTCTACTGAGATTAAGACTTTGTGCTCTTACATCAAAATGCTAACGTTAAACTTGCGTAATGAGACATGAAATGAAAAGCTTAGGGGGCCTGGTCCTTATGAGCACGACTCCGCTTATAATCCCCGCGAAGGGCCCTGCGGCATCCGCCGTCAGGCTCGCTGTTCACCCCACGCTCACTTTTTCATATCGCGTCCATCCGAATGGAAAAAGTGCAAGTTGGGCTGTCATGAGCTAGCATTGCGGCTTCAGATTATTTAACTAATGCTAACTTCCACACTTATCCCTAGGAATTGAACCGCTATCGCTTTCCTTGAACGTTCTCATTTACATTCTCCTCTGCGCACTCTCCTTGTTCATTTTTACACCTTCAGTATGCATTTGCATTTTTTATTTCTGTCCATATGCAAGCATGTGCGCCTCACTGAAGCTGCATATTTGATTATCACTTTATCTGAATATTCTTGTTTATTGCATCAAGCTTGGAGAATAATGTAATTTTTATTTCAATTCAGAGTGTCATTTACTGTTATTTGCTACAAGTTGTTTGCAGTAGGTACATTGATTGCATGTTTCTCACATCTGTTCTCTGTGAATTGCCTCTCGCTGTCTCCCTGGTTGCATTGCGTGCTTGCCATGTTTTACATTCCTGTGAGCACAGTAGGTGACCTCTTTGTGCCCCAGGTTACTTCCTGTGAGGACAGTAGGTGACCTCCCTGTGTCCCAGGTTACTTCCTGTGAGGACAGTAGGTGACCTCTCTGTGCCCCAGGTTACTTCCTGTGAGGACAGTAGTTTGGCTTTTATTGTGCCGTGGTGTTCGCTGCAGTGACAGTAAGTAACATTTTCTCCTACAATTTCATTATGTTGTTACCTACATCAATTAGGTGATCCAGTCATTTCTACAGCGTTTGCTATTTTAGCACTGTGCTTGCCGTCGACGGCCTGCTACTCTCTTAGTAGGCCTTTCCAAGTGTAATTAGAGAGCAGGGAAGCTGTGCCTGTAGCACGAAGGAGCCACTGTGAGCGTAAGAAGTGCAACATTAATAGTATAAACAGTGTCATTGCAGTGTTATGATATTTATCTCTTCCGTTTTGTGGAGGTGAGAAAATCTGTTCCTGCAAGTAGGTTTGTTTCATTCTCCTGTCAAATGATTCAAATGATTTGTTTTTCTATTCTCAAAGTGAGCTGAATGAATACTAAAGCAGTACTTCTAACATAACAGCTACTTCAGGCACTGAGACACGTCTGATACACACACTTAATTATTTTGTTTTGCTGTTTCTTGTCTGCTTTTTTTTTTTTACAAAGTTTATCACCAAATCCCCGTGAGTCGTAATTAAGCTATATGTAAAAACGGTTTTTGGGACTGAGCTAAAGGGTAGAATTTTTTTTCATGGCTGGACCTGATCTATTGCCCTTGCATGTGTGATTCGCCCGTATAAATGTCTGCCGGAGCTCACAGGCTACGTTGTGGCTCCCTGGTGTTCGGAAAGTGAGGATCACACAGTCACACCGAAAGGTCGCAGAAGTTAATCTCTCTGTGCCCCACGTCTGTTAACACAAAGGATTAGCGCCTGGATTTGGGGGCTGTGTACCAAAACAAACTTCAGAAAGAGCGCGATATCTTCTGTTCTCACTCTCCTAAGGTACTTCTGCTAGTGGATTTATGCCACTTCACTGCACTAAGCGTCCATATCCAGGGCAGCCAACTTCGCTCAGCTGGCTGCTGTGATATTTACATGTATGTAGCAGTTTTATTACCTTGTAAACAGCCTGTAGGGTTTGCAAACCGTCCCACTGCTTTTCATGTGGCTAATTATAAGTTCATAATGGATTAATATAGATTTGCGGTACGATTTCTTAGATGAGCGGCAGAGTCTGAAAGATGCATGAGAGCCGCAAGCGCTGTTTTCACAAGCGTGTGAACATACACATTTGGTCAGTTGTGGACAAACTTCTGGCAGCAGAGTTATTAATTATCCTTTCTACTAGGACGTTCTCTCATTAACCCCCTTTAGCAGTCTTAGTAAGCCATTCTCCGCAAACCCTGTGACAGTCTCCCCCTCCCCCCCCTTATCGAAGGTGCTGCCGGCGGCCAGAGAGGCTTCCTCGGCTGCATCCGCTCCCTGAAGATGAACGGCGTGACCCTCGACCTGGAGGAGAGGGCAAAGGTCACGCCCGGCGTGAAGCCCGGCTGCTCGGGCCACTGCAGCAGCTTCGGCACCTACTGCCGCAACGGGGGCAAGTGTGTGGAGAAGTACAACGGCTACTCGTGCGACTGCAGCAACACGGCGTTCGACGGCACCTTCTGCACCAAAGGTGACCCCCGTGTGCCGTCGGTTTCGGTTTGTGACTTCGCATCTTCTAACGGAGCCGTGATTCGTAATCGGTGCGCGTGGAGATCAGCCGCCTGCTGGAGCTGCCTCTGGTTTTACGCACCGTGTTCCATGACAGCGTCAGCAGGAAGTGCCTTTGCGCTTTCCACTCTCCTAGCGTGGATTAAGTAAAATGCTAATTAAGCATTCGGTACTCGGTCCCGCAGCAACTGATTGAGCCAGAGGTCTTCGGCAGCCGAGGCCTATCCGCTCTCACGCGCGATACATATCAATGCAGTCCTCCACACCCTAGGGGGCGTCTGTCAGAGTTGGGTCATCTCTCACACGTTCCTGTCTGAATATAGCTGGTCAGACAGCGCTCTGTGGATCACAGCCCTCATCTCCATCTCCATAACATGGGACCAGAGAGTGCAGACAGCCCCCCCGAGACCCCCAGGCACTGACCCGCTGTGGCTTGATCCACACGCAGCTCCTGTCCTCCTCAGTGTTCATGCTTGTCCTTTCTGTGCCTGTGCTAGTCTGCACTGTCACCCCCTAACCTGCTCTCATTCTGCTGCCTGACACGACGTGACTGATGTTCTTCAGCAGCAGATCACCTGCTCATTCCCTGACACCTTCATCCACGGCTTCCTCAGTATGGCGTCCATCCGGTCGTTATTCACATCCGTTATGCCGTTGGGCCATTATTCCACAGATCTATACAAGTCTTTGGAATTTTTTTTTGGGAATGTCTGCCTGATATTCAGATATACTCTGTGAATGTCAAAGATGAGTAACACAAAGCAGTTTTGATCACACTTGCTATTTCCAGGATGGAGAACGTCACCTGTATGGCCGTTTCTGCCTAATCTGCCTGCAAACTCTGGCACCTGCCTGTTAATGAATAATGTATCTTGCTTATATAGCTGATGCTGAGTAGGTTGCCCTCGTCACGCTGGTGATGAGGTGTGAGAAGGGCTACACGCGCAGCTTTTCCCTGCATTGTTGTAATATCGCAGAAATGCACAGGTCCTGTTTCCCTGCGTGTCGTCAGCTTGCTGGTGTCCTCAGTGCGCCTGCATGCTGGTGCTGCTGACGCCGTGTCTCTGACTGTCTGCCTGTGTGCGTCGCAGATGTGGGGGCCTTCTTTGAGGCAGGCACCTTCCTCCGGTATAATTTCATGTCCGAGCTGGCTGCGGCGTCGTCCCGGGAGACCAACCTGACGCGGGAGGAGCTGTCCTTCAGCTTCAGCACGTCCAGTGTGCCCAGCATCCTGGTCTACATCGGCTCCAGGACACAGGACTACCTGGCCGTGGTGCTGCGGCAGAATGGTGAGGAGGGGCGGGGCTTGTAGGGGGTGTGGCCTGTAGGGGCGGGGCCTTGTGAGGTGTGTCCTATAGGGGGTGGGGGCTGGTGAGGGTGTGGCCTATAGGAGCAGGGCCTAAATAAGAAGGGGCATGAAGAGGGAGGGGCTCGGGGCAGAGGTCCAAAGTGACACTGGTGATTCAAGGAGAAAATGTAGATCACCAGGGTGAACCATCAGCCATTCGTGGGTCAACTTGCTGTGAACGTTTTGTTTAAGTGAAGATTGGCTGACATAAATGGCAATTTTGACCGGAGCAGAAACATCCCAAACCATTTAAATTGTTGTTACGGTGTCTCTCGTCTGCTGTGCAGTTCAGGAGGTGTAATAACAAATTTTGTGGTTTAAATCGCTTTTCCAATCTGAAGATTTTTACAAGCCATGGCCAGGGTCTTTCAGAAATAACTTCACGGTGCTTCCAAACGTAGTGCTTCAAACAATGTGTTTCTCGAGAAACCAAACGCAGCGAAACGAAAGCTTTGCGGTGTTCAGGTTCCCCGGGCCGCTGACTCCCTCATCCTGTATCCGAATGAGCCGTGGCAGCGTCTCCCTGTTTCCTCCGTACATCTAGAAGGTTAATGTTGCTTGAATTTGTTTTTGTGAAGCAGCTGCCTGTTTAGCGGGGCCCGTTTTCACGTTCTGCGGGCCGGAGATGTGAAACCGGGAGGCTTACCCTGCTCCGTGGCTGCATGACAGGTCCCATATACTGTCACAGAACGTTTCAGATTTATTGACAGTGCGGTGAGATTTTCAGAGCTGGAGGACGGCCGCTTTCATCTCGCGGATTGAGCCCTGTCAGACGTGCAGCGACGTGCTGTAGCGTGACGTGTCTGAGAGCGAGTTCCGGCTGGTTCCGCCCGAGTGCTGATTGAGGGGGTGAGCCCGAAACTGACAGGCGGTCTTCCACCGGACAGGAACGCTGCAGATCCGCTACGACCTGGGCGGTCTTAGAGAGCCCTTCACCATCAACCTGGACCAGCGCAACATGGCCAATGGGCAGCCGCACAACGTCAACATTTCCCGCGTGGACAGGACCGTCCAGCTTCAGGTGAGGCACTGGGGCTGGGAGGGGTGTTCAGAGCTACTGGAGCAGAACCGCCCGGCTAATGCAGGTGCTGTGCCACCACTGCCAGAGAATGAAGACTTCAACAGAGCCTGCCCTACTAATGTGGGTCAGCCTGTAGCATCACTGCCATTATACAGTGACGGCACTGCATGTAAACAAGCAGCTGAAAGTCTGGAGATGCAAACTCCACAATTCAGAGAGGCAGCTTAACTGAACCCTGCTCCTCCCCATACATCTACTGCATGGGTAGGTTAGTTTACTGGAAAACAGGGGAGACTCTAGGGTATTTTTAAGGTGGAGGGCATAGAGGGGCCATAATTCATGCAGAGTGGCGAGGGTTATCATTAACCAATGATATGTTTTGATTTGGTGAGTGACAGGGGAGGGGCACAACGGGGGCCAATCAGCTCTCGCACAAGAGGCCTTGTGTGGGTCAAAAAAAGGACCAGAGGGGGTCAAAAACAAAGCAAGTGAACAACAAAAACTAGGACCAACACAGTAACAACCACAGCAATACAGCAGTGAACACGGGGCAACAAACACACACTGACTGACTCAGGAAGATAGGCAGGCACATACATACTCCGTTAGCAAGCATAAGATGAGGGACAGGCGTGGCCCAAATACAATCAAACACTAAAGACTAAGGGCAACATGAAGCAGGAGTGGGTCAATTCGCAAATCACAGAAGACTCAAACACTAGGAAAGGGCTGACCAGCGACATCTGCTGGACAGGCAGGGAAACAACGGGGCAGATCCTGACAATGGCTTCCTATCTTGGCAGCAGTGATACAGTGGTGATGTTCACAGAAAACCAGGTAGAATTTTCAGGGTGCAGTAGAATTCAGTGCATATCTGGATCCGCCTTTAGTGGGCGGATGGCCAGCAACGGCGAAGGACCTTTCCCCTGGACATTGGGCCTTCCGACTTTTTGGACAATTAATTAACTCACACACAGTGTTCAAAACGTCCACTTGTTCGATCACTTGCTCACTTTCTCACTATATAGTGTTCACTGTATAGGAAACTCCCTAGTGGATAAGCGCAGACAGCGGTTGACACACTAGCAAAGTTTCTCAAATAGAGTTCCGACACTCACGCGACACGCCGCAATGTATGATGGTCTAAGTAAACCAATGTATGGTACAGCATCTGTATATTACATTTTGAGGTTCCTAGTGCCGATTCTGTAGTGCACTATGTGAATGAAATTTACAGTTTAGGATTCGAACAGCACTACAAAATGGCTGACTCCCTATATAGTGCACTACCCGTGCCGTAAGGCTGCAGATACCGCTTTTGTAATTATACCTCACACTGCATCACACTGCATCACACTGCATGATTGGTCATCAAACTGAAAGTGAAGAGTCACTGGGGCAAAAATTGATTTTATAGAAATTATGTACCAAAATGAAAAACGTGGCACTGATTTAATTACTGTAGAATTGCTCGCATAATTAAGTGCTCCAAGAAATGAATGTCCAGCATTATGCAGAAAACCCCATTAAAAGCTTTATTATGCTAAATAAGAATTGATTTATGGCAGTGACTGCACTGGAGCAGCCCCGCAGGCTGCGTGGTTCCTGAGCAGATACGCCGCTCTTTCATCCTCATTTCTCTGCTCTCAGATCCTGCTGACATCACTTTCCATCGTCGCCATGTCTACCTCCGCAGAGCGCCAAGTGCACTGCTTCATCTCACGACTGCCCATTATCATAAAGTCTCTTTGTTTTGCACGTGCATTTCAATTTTTTTTCTCCAAAAATCGACCTGATGTGGCCACAAGGGGGCATCCAAGAGGCTGTCGGAGATAAACTGAAAAGGGTCATTGTCTGTTTGTATTTTTATCGCGTGTTTGCAAAAATGTATCTAATTGTTCTGGATGCTCACAATAAGATTGTGAGTTACAGCTGCAGTTACAGCTCTTACAGCAGCTGGACTGGTGGGGTTTCATTAAAGGGCTCTTAACTCCTGCCTTGTCTGATGTGTTATATACTGTGAGGGTCCAATAATGATTGCTTGATAGTGTTTGCATATTTACATTAGGCTTCTCTTTACTGTTACTTCACTCCCTGTCTGTTTTTCTTGCTGTCTATGTCTGCCTGTCTACCTCATTGTCCTTCTGTCTCTGTCCTTCTGTCTGCCTCATTGTCTGCCTGTCTGCTGGTCTATCTGTCTGTCTGTCTGTCTACCGGTCTGTTTGCCTGCATGTCTGTCTTTCTATGCCTGCCTGCCTGTCTCAGTTAATCTGTCTGTCTGTCTATGTCTGCCTGCCCCTTCTATCTGTCTCTCTATTTGTCTCTGTCTTTCTGCCTGTCTGTCTGTCTGCATCTGTCTTTGTCTGTCTGTCTGTTTCTGTCTCCCAGTCTTTCTGTCTGTCTCTCTGTCTGTCTCTATCTGTCTTTCTTTGTCTCTGCTTGTCTCTCATTCTTTCTGCCTGTCTCTCTGTCTGTTTGTCTGTCTCTGCCTACCTGTCTGGCTACCTCACTGTCTGTATGCCCGCCTGCCTCACTCTCTGTCTGTCTGTCTTGCAGCTGGACCACTACCCTCCAGTGAACTATTCCCTGCCGGAGGCTTCAGACACCCAGTTCAACCTCATCAAAGCTCTCTTCCTGGGAAAAGTTTTTGGTAAATATGATCAAAATGGATGAATAAACCATTGGCATATTTCACTGGTTTCATTAGTCCTGGTGCTTAAGCATTAGCTGTATCCTGCAGCCGATACCTGACAGCTTCATCTGTGAAGTTTAAACAGTCTTTGGCTTCACAGCCCTGTATCTCTCTGCTCTCTCTGTCTGAGGCCTAAAAGTCTTATTCAGCTTCTCTATCAGGACGGGTATTTCTCTGTAGGCTGGAATCGCCCATCTGCAGAAAGTCACGCCCCATCTCTGATTTCCTCACTCCTTTACAATAAAAGCAGCCATCGTATGACAATACTGTCACACTTGTGGGCCGCTGAGCTTTCTAAGTCTCACGGCAGTTGTTTAACCAAACGTCCACATTCAGAGCTGCTTCAGCGCTGGAGTATGACCGCTGTCTCTGCTCCATCTTCAACATGATGGTGATGGAATCACCTGACAGGGTGGCCATATCGCCATGGACGTGGGCCGGTGAAAGTCACGCAGGGGTCTAGGCAGTGACTCTCTGTGCCCAGGTGAGATGCCAGCGCAGGGCAGGGAGAGCGCTGTGAGGGAGCTGGGAACCCTGCCAAAGCTCTGTGAGGGAGCTGGGAGCCCTGCCAAAGCGCTGTGAGGGAGCTGGGAGCCCTACCAGAGCTCTGTGAGGGAGCTGGGAGCCCTACCAGAGCTCTGTGAGGGAGCTGGGAGCCCTGCCAAACCTCTGTGAGGGAGCTGGGAGCCCTGCCAAAGCTCTGTGAGGGAGCTGGGAGCCCTGCCAAAGCGCTGTGAGGGAGCTGGGAGCTCTACCAGAGCTCTGTGAGGGAGCTGGGAGCCCTGCCAAACCTCTGTGAGGGAGCTGGGAGCCCTGCCAAACCTCTGTGAGGGAGCTGGGAGCCCTGCCAATGCGCTGTGAGGGAGCTGGGAGCTCTACCAGAGCTCTGTGAGGGAGCTGGGAGCCCTGTCAAACCTCTGTGAGGGAGCTGGGAGCCCTGTGAAAGACAGGCACTTTATAAGGAGAATGTGGCTGGTAGGATCTGTAATAATTTACTCTGCACACCAGGGGGAGCCAAAGATTCAAAGATAATAGTCAAATGTGAAGGTGATAGCAGTATAGAATAGAACAGAACAGAATAGAGATACTTTATTAATCCCTGTGGAGAAGTTCTCTTTATGCCTATATATTTATACTAATTGTAGATAAAAAAAAATTGAATTTTTAATCTGAGTCGCTATGGGTCTGACTGAAAGATGTGCATGATGTGTGAGTGACCGGTGTGTGAGTGACAGGTGTGTGAGTGACCGGTGTGTGAGTGACCGGTGTGTGAGTGACAGGTGTGTGAGTGACCGGTGTGTGAGTGAATGACTTGTGAGTGACTGGTGTGTGAGTGACCGGTGTGTGAGTGAATGACTTGTGAGTAACCGGTGTGTGAGTGACCGGTGTGTGAGTGACCGCTGTGTGAGTGACCGGTGTGTGAGTGACTGGTGTGTGAGTGACCGCTGTGTGAGTGACCGCTGTGTGAGTGACTGGTGTGTGAGTGACCGCTGTGTGAATGACCGCTGCGTGA